TGCAATAAAAATAAGGATAATAACAACAAAAAAAGAAGGTATGCATGTACCACAGTTAGCCCAGAATATCATACTACTCAATTACATGGGTTTTATTTTAGGACGTGTCGTACAGGCTATAAGCGGCACAGAAAGACCTCATAAATAACACAATGTTCCCACCGGATTCTATAAAGAATTTATTAAATTCCCTCTTCTATCCCTCCAGTCGGAACAATGACCTGTGCTCTCCGATGTGTGAAACTATTAGAGAAGAAGCCTCAAAGTGAAGAGCTTATGGCTCACATTATATAATGAATCTCATTTTATTCTGTGACTATATTCCTCTTCCATTCATTTGTGACACCAAGACTGATCTGTGATCTTTTAAATGGCCTGTGCCTTCCAAAGGGGGGGGGGGGGAATCTAAAGACGGATAAAAACACAGGCCTTTCCCAATCTTCCTCACCAGAAGAAGATGCGCAGGATGTTGGCTATGAGCAGCACCAGGCAGACTCTGGTGGAGAAGCCCTCGCTGTTGCTGCTCCTCTGGATATCCTGGTACTGTGGCACGTAGGGCAGCGCTCCCCCGCACACCATGAGGCAGGACGCCATCCAGGACATCAAAGACCACGAGTCCTCCATGTCCTCCTGTAGAACCGCCTCTGCATCCATCACGCCGAGATAAGCTCAGAGGTGTCCAGGGGGTCTAAAAGGTTGCACCTGGGAAGCAGCGTAAGGAAACGGAATACAACGGGAGTTATCACCGATGTTTGTTCTGAGGTAGCCAGAGGCCCGCGTTAACATTCCCAGAGGCCATCAGCAGAACAACGTATTAAGCTGATTGCATTTAAAATCCTCAGTTATGCAATTAAAATAACTACCCCAAAGAATACAAATGTGTATGAAACATTAGACCAACAGGCTTTTTTCTCTGAATACATGTGACAGCAGAAACAGCACAGGTTAGAATTATACTACGAATGATGGCTGGATTACATTTAAACAGTGAGACTTACTCTTGAGTTCATTCTTGAGGTTATAGAGTCGCCGCTCACACATTCACAGGAAGGTCCAGACGTGTGATTTATGAATTAGCAACCATGTAGCCAGACCGGAATTTAATTTAAAATTAAATTAAATATGTGGAAATGTCCCACAGAGAAAGAGAGAGAGAGAGCAAGTGGAATGCAAGGAAAGGTTAAATAGCCAATGGCCAGTGAAGGCAGAGATGACAGGCGGGAATCGGGGAGCTCGAGGAGGCGTCCTGGGTGGGAGGTGTCAGTATTAGCTGCCACGGTGTGGAGAAAAAACACAGGTCTGTGTCTCCTCCCGCTAAATGACTTCTCTCTGACAAATACGCCGCAGTATCTTCACTCTTGAGTGTTCACACAGTTGAACACGTACTCTGACCAAGCGGTCCTGTCTGCCGCACAACTAGTTCTCCTAAAAACAGAGGTGTTCTGAGCCAAGTGCTAGCAGGCATTCTTGAGGGGATAATAACATCAAGGACTAAAGGTTTGTAATTCCTTCTTTCTCCAGAGCAGCCTACAGGACAAATAGAGGGATGCATTACATTTGAGACTATGTGATCTTGTAATACAGATAAACAGCTCCTTGGAAATGGGATTGGTATGTGGACAACATGTTTGGTGTGAGAGCCTGTATGTTGCTGTGTACACAAAACCATGACCTACAAATTCTAAGCAAATGGTGAGAATAAAAGGGAATTGGTGCAGTGATTCCCATGTGACTGTGGCTCCTCGTGGCTGTGTCATAACAGTCTTTAGCAGGCAGTGTCAGCTGATAAGTCACTCAGTATCGCTCAGTCAACACACTGAGGACTGGATTGTCATGCCACAATAAAAAAACAAATTTAAAACTCAGCAGCAGGTTCTCTGGTGGTAACTTTTTTATCACACTATAGTCGGCTAATTCAACACAACAGGAGATGCAGCTCCACTTGGAGCACCGAGAGTCATCCAGAAGATGAACGGGGTCCGATTACCCATGAGACATCTGTTATTTCACATAACTCAGCTGTAAGTAAGGGCATAAGGAAATCAATAGTCCAGCCAAGACCTCACTGCTTTGGAGGATAGAGCCAGGCAGGTGGATCTGGTGGAGCAAAAGCCAATTCTCAACTTGTCTAGACCTGTGTGGGTCTCCCTGTTATTGCGTTTAAAAACAAATATTATTAAGAATGCAAAGTGAATGCAAAACTGCAGAGCAGCCCTTGAACATAATCCAACGAGGGTGTCTTTTTATAGGTTTCCGACAGTTAAACATTACACAAGAATGTAACAATCCAAGGTGTCCTTCTGCCTGGCTGTGTGAGTACACCATCACACCCACACCACAGCAGCCACTTGTAGTAACAGGACATGCTGTTGTGCAAGCAAAAGCATGTCTTCATGGGGTTGGGTCACTGACATGTCTGTACATACAGGCATCAGTTTTGGGCTACCGGGTTATAACCGCACACAAAGGAACAGCTAAAACACCGTCTGGTTACATTGTATGCAGAGCAGGTTTAAAGCGTGCAATGTCGCATTTCACCACTTTGTCCTTAACTTTAAAACCCCAAAAACAAGCGTCCTCTGAGAGAGTCTTTATCTTTGTTCTATAATTTTAGTTTTTAAAAAGCGCGCTCACATCACGGACAATGCCCACCGCTCCTCTGATTGCGTATCGCCCCTGACACCAATGTATACGTCTGTCTAGGTGGCATTGTTTAACATTCGGTATTTTGTAGGTAAACCGTGAACAGCACCCAACTGTACTCACCAGTCGCCTTCATTCAGCTGGTCAAAACAAAAACAGCAGCTCGCACACTCACACGGGTACGAGTGTTTCAACTTTAACCCCCCCCCCCCCCCCCGGTTCCCTGGCTGCTCCAACTTTCAAATCCCAACTCGCTCTCAAGATGTGCACATCCGATCTCAAGATGTGAACACGCACGGGGCACACGTGCACACTCGCGCACAGAATACACACACATCGTTGTTCACTATTATTTTCAGACTTAACGTCACCATATTCCAACATTAAACATGTAACGTTTCCTCGTTAAAACACTTAAAGGGATGCAGACGATCTGTACTAAACAAATGCAATGAATGCATGTGTGGTGTTCTCCATACGGGTTAAACAACACTACGAAAGTAATGTGCATACTCCTTATTTTAAAAAACACTCCATATTCCACATTACTTAGCACCCTGACATAGCTCTCGCGAGACTATTGGTGTTGCAGGACAGCTGACTGTGCAGTGGGTGGTGCCAGGGACTGCTCTGCTCTATTTCAAACAGATACACACACCTGATAGTGAACATAATCGGTACACTGCTTTCTGGATTTTAGTACTGTTCAGCCGCCGATAATAACTTACACCACAACATGTCTGAGACGGATCCCAAGTCGGTGCAGGACCTTACCAACGTGGTGAGTCACGATCGAGATGGCAAGCTAGCGTTAGCTATAGCAGCCTAGCTAGCAATGGCATACACTAAATGCTAACGGTGGTAAGCTAGTAGCTAGTTTATAAGCACAAGCTAGCAAGACTGTAGCACGTCGATGGCATTTGATGTTTATTAGTTTGTGCAGTTAAACAGGTGTATGCGCTCTGCGTGTTGAACGTGTTTACTGGAGTCCTGACCTTTGTTTAGCACGTTATGTAACAGCAGTGGTCAGCTTTTACGTGGCATCACCAAATCACAATAGAGTAATCCGCGTAGCGTTACACAAACAGGGTTGTTCCTGTGTAATGTTACTTCTGTAGAGACGCGTGGTCTAATTGTAGTTAAGTTTCCATTAACGCTATATTGAATAGTGTAATATCACTCTATGTTTGAGTGTCGTCATGGAGAAGAGCATACATGACACTACATGTGTACCCTCCTAAACCTTCAACCCTCCCCTGTGGTAGTTTTATCTCATTTCTTTTTTCCCTATATTTTTGTTTACGTTTTTGTATTTACAGCCATTGTCGATTAGAGCGTCTTTTAAGAACACTTCCAACCCCTTCCTCGAGGACGCCCAGTGATACACATGTTTGTTTTTAATTAACCTTCATTTGGTCACACTGCCCCTGGTGATGAGGGTACCTCTTCCCCACAAGCATCTGAAGAACACATTTGGTGAAATTAAACTGTTGATCACAGACACTGCTTTAGAGAACAGTGTAATAGAGCCACATTATGTGATGGGCAGCAATACAGAACAGTATGGATCTGTGGCGCCTACTTTTCTCTCATCGCGGGGAATTAAGGAATCAATCTCCCATGGAAACAGAGCTTTTACTTTGTTGTCAAGGAAACCAGATACTTGTGTTATCATTGTTCTGCTGCTTTTTTAAATCATTCATAGACCACAGGCATGGTGCATCAGAGTGGGAGTGCTGATGTTTTTCAGTGCCAGAGGGATTGTTAATGGTACACAGTCCACTGACGACATCAATACTTAAATCCTCTCGTGTCAAACTTAAATTAAACTGGTGCATTTGATGTATGGCTGTCATCTTCAGTGAACCAACTCTGATCAGTAGATGTATTTGTGCGTTTCACAGGTCCAGACACTGCTGCAACAGATGCAGGACAAGTTCCAGACCATGTCAGACCAGATCATCGGGAGGAATATCCTAATTGAGCATTTAAAATACAAGCTATCGATTGTTCGCTGATGAAATGCATTCGTGGTACATATTCTAATCTAAAATGATGGATTGATGTCTCAATCTGTGGGACATTATTTTACCCATTCAGGAGTAACTTTGTGAGCTTGTGTTATTTATATGCCTTAACTGCTTCTCCACTTGATGAGATGAGCACGCGCATTGATGACTTGGAGAAGAACATCGCCGACCTGATGACCCAGGCTGGTGTTGAAGAGATCGAGGCGGCACCAGAAAAGGCTAAAGAGGGTCAAGGCTCATAATGAAGGTAAGCCGTAGACTCATCTACCCACCAGCATACCCTCGTAGCCCTTATTCATACCTTCCATTTTGCTTCAAGGTCCATGGTTGTGTCCCTCTTCCTGATCGACTCATGAATCCTAAGTATATAGAGACATCAGAAGATTGGAGACTGTCATTTGCTTATAGTTTAGTGTCTGTTAATCATTGTATTAAGGATGTAGTGTTTATTTGGCTGTGTCGGATGTAAACGTGGATAAATGCACACACATGTATTCATAAATGAATTCACCACCTTCTTTAAACCCGTTTACTCCAACGCAGACCATTGTTTTGTGTCCCGCAGGTTCCCGGTGTGAAGTCGGTCCTACATTCAGGAGCAGCAGACTTTTCGATCCTGAAAATGACTTATTGATTTGGTGTGTCGTTGTGAAATGCTTTTTTTATATATTGAATATTGTGATAAACGGTTAGTTATGTAATGACTTGAAAAGTTGGATGTCATTTGTAAGTTAGAATAGTGTGCTGTGCCCTTCAGAACCATGTGCAGGAATGCAGCTTAAGGATTTCTATGCCATCGTATCGTAATGAATGAAATCCTGTGAGCGGATGGGCTGATGGGGGCGGTTTTGCCCGAGCCTGTGCCGAATACAACCTGCAGGCTAGTAGGCCAGTGGAACCTCCATCCCTACCAACAGGGGAAACGGGCACAGTGAACATCTGAAACCAAACGGCACCGGTACTACCATACTGTGGGATGCATTCCAATTCCAACAGATTTTCTTCTATTAAAGCTATTTAATACAATGCTCTCTGTCATGTATTACATAATAAATATTTGGCCAGTTGCCGAGTGAATTTTTAAAAATATAAATAACTCCTAGGTGCCAATTGTTTCTGTAATTATTTTTTTATGCCAGTGTTTCATTTGATCTTGCAAACTATCTGAAACGTCAGTGTTTGGTGTTTTTTTGGCAGAGATTGTTTCTAAATGACAATTTTTACACTTAATGGTCAACTAGGCTGCGAAATTGGGAATTTACGGTCTACTATGATCAATAAGATGTTTGAAGATGAACTGACATTTAATGTGAACTGAATTAGAGGCAATGTTGCTTAACTGCATAGTAGGAACCTTTATTCAAATGAGGGCAAACAAAAATAACAAAATGAAGCCAAACAGCGGTAAGCAAAACATGTCACACATTACCATGAAGTACAAAATCAGTAGTGAACATATGAGTGCAATATTAAAGTTCTGTATGTATTATAAAGTGACCGGTTCCTTGATTGCATTTTAAAGTTAGAACTCAAAGTCTTCCTCCGTCATGTCGATGGCCCAGGCGAACTTGTCCCTTTGGCTCTTATTGTAGATTTTCTCTATAGGTACCTCCATGTTCTTGCACCTGAACAAATGGAAAAATAAATAGTTTAACGCACCGTTTGGTCTTCTGACAGGTCCCAAATCTTTCCTCTTAAAACAAAGTACAGAGGTATTCTGATAGAGAATGTAAAAGCACTGATAGAATGCAATCAATAGAAATAAACAACATGTAATAATGGGCTATACAAGAGTGTGAACATGATTTAAAGGTTGACTGTGAGCATAATTGGTATTGAATTGATTCGATTTACTGACAGTGCTGTGTTTGAAGATGAACAAACTATTGTAATGAATAAATACAAGCACTGTACAACTTCATAGCTATAAGTAACACCAGATTTGCTTTGATGCCGAAGAGAATAAAACTACAGATAGAACATTAATTAAAAGATTAGAAGAATATTTTATATTGATCTGGAGACTTAGTTATGCTACTGCAGATATCTTTCAATGAGTCTATAGAAAAGATTCTCTATTTACAAAGTCGCCTTGTGTTGTGCATTATTGACAAGTGTCCGCTAGCTTCCTGCTATTTGTGGTAATGGTTTATAGCAGGAGCTTTTCAAGAAAGACTGGTGAGTCAGTGAGTGGTTTATTTACACATTTTGATCAGATCCACTGAGCTGAACATGCCCAGTTGGCCACGCAACTCAGGCTACTATGGTGGTTAACACAGAGTAAAAGAGAACCAGCATCACAAAACTAGAAAGCCCAAGTTAAGCCCCAAATTGGGCAGCTGACTCACTAATCTTGCTTTGTGCTACAGGCCCTAGGTGGAGGTGGTTCTATTGGAAACCTCAGTTTGTCTGAGTGCTCTCACGTAGGCACAGCAGGTGCATGACTTTAGGCAGCGAGTTTGTCGGCAAAATGTGTTTTGGAGAGTCCGTGTTAGTGTTCACTCACCAAGCCACGCTGATGCGTGGGTCCAGGTAGTTGAGCTTTGAGGTACCCAGTGCAATCTGTTTGTTTTCTTCCCTGTCAGTCGCCTGGACCTCCATCTTCAGCAGCTGCTCCTCACAGCGCTTCACTGCTGCCTTCTTCCGCTCCACCAGACTGACAGAAAACATATAGCTTCAGTCTTTCAATGCGAATTCTGTCCACATTGTGGTCAAGTGTGCTTTCGTCGGTATGCAGCCTAATTCAGAAGATGTTTTGTGTAAATAACTGAAAGTAGCAAATGTCCCAAGCGGCAGAAAACCTATGCATGTACAAAAATCTCCCCAGACATCCCACAGAAACAAGTGTTCCTTCTCTGCGCGCAACGCAATACTACATACTGCTCTCTGAATCATGAGTATCCAGTGAACAAACATTTAGATCGTGAATTAAAGGCAATACACAGAAAAAGCAGTTGTCCGTTGCACTGCGAGGTACGACTAACGGAGTGTTGGTAATTGCCTTTTGGCTCTAGGCCCAAAGACTAAAAGGAATAGCAGGGAAGCTCATCTCTGTGCGGTAACAGCAGGACTGCCACCACAACAAACACAATTTCATGGTCAGGAACCTTCTTTCTCACAGCGTTCACCTACGGCTCATTATTCACCGTGAAGCAGTTATCTCTGTTTGGAGGCATTTAAACCCGCCGGGTACCTTTCTCTTTGCTACTTGTTATTGTAATTGTTTTGACCACAGCTTTTTTCAGCACTATTTGAGACACGTACGTCTGCTGCTTGGGGTCCGAGCTGCCTCTGGTCTTCGCCTCCTTCTTGGCCTGTTTCAGCTCCGTTTCTGCGAGGGACAGCGCTTCCTTTCGAGCATCAATCTGGGTGGAGCACATATGGAAATGGACATGTTTTTATATATGGATTTCTGTTAGCTTTAAAATATCACTGATCCGAGGCTGGAAAGGTTATGAAATCTGCACTGGCCTTTCAACAACCTTACAGTGACACAGGAACAGGACAATATCATCCCCTGTCAATGTGATGAATAAACCAAGTCAAGCTATTCTTACCTTGGCCTGAAGGTTAGCCATAGACTGATCAAAGGTCTTTGGCGGCGCCCGCTGGTGGTTACACAGAATGGCAACTGCTCTGTTAGCTCTGTTGTAGGACAGCAGTTTCTCTGGCTCATTGTCGGACTCTGGAGTGAGACAGAAGTTATTTGTATTTTAACAGGAAAATCCCACGAAAAACACAAATCTGACCAGAGATAAAGATTTAATCATGCTGCTGTCCAATCTTGACCTTGAAACACACACACACACACACACACACACACACACACACACACACACACA